AGATTTAATAAAAATGGATTTCCCAGTACCCTTCAGGTTTATATTTTGAGAAGCTGGTTATGCTTTTTTGAATTTACATCACTAAAAATGAACAGCACATTCATTTGTACTATTGATACAAAGACATGACCATCTGCCATCCTACACCTACATGAGACTGGTGCTTTTCTAACGAATCTTGTGTATGATACATTCATATCAATTTAATGTCACATGGAAAAGAAAGCAGCTGAGATACCAGAATTTGAGACAAAAGTAGTGTGCACCTATTCCTTTAATAAATTAGGAATGTCATCTCCTCCAAATTGCAAGTAACTTTGGAGTCAATGCATTTGATATGTTTATCATTAGCTTGTTGTGCTGTTAGTTCAGTCCTACCAGGAATATTTTAAAGGATGTAATGCAATTAAAAAGCAGAGATACATTTTCAACCAAAACCCTGAGTTAATTGAATTCCACCAAAATTAGTCAATCTGAATCCAGTTTCTATTCACAGTTGCTCACCAATATGTAAGACCAGCATGTATGACTGTGAGAATCTTATATAAATACTAATTAAATAGTAATCACTCCCAATAATTCCCCAGGATGTGGATGCCATTGTTTGGAACTGGCTTAAGATTATGATCAGTGAAAGAGTAAAAGTTTGTTAATTTGAAATAACTTTAATGATTATAGCACTTAATTTTGACTACAGTGGAAACATCATATGGCATAATATACGTGGTCATCTGTTTTCTTATTCTATTAAAGGTCTATATTCACAGAGTAGAAATTTCTTAAGAGTGAGTGATGCTCACGAAAGATAAAGATAAGATGCACATCTTGAGGTAAGAAGTTACAGTGATCTTATGTGACATCCGAAGCAGCAGCCTCTCTTCAGAGGAACACTTATGCCACATGTTGAGAGGTATGGGGGAGAAAATGTATTTCTGACAAACTCAGGAACAAGCTATATCCTAGGCTAACCTTTTCTCTTGACTAAAGCACAAGGCATTGCTTTTAACAGAACAAAAAACATTTCCAAATATGATTTGAAACAACATAAAACTTCTAGTTTTCAGATGATCTCTTGTTATTTTTCTCATGCAAAGTCATGAAAAAATTCATTGGTCTAAGAAAACCACTCCTGTGTAAGTTTTTAACTCCAGTGTTGGTTTTAGGAACATTCCAGCAAAACCCAGAATGGCATAAAACATTATTTCTAGTTTGTCAGGGTTTTGTTAAAACTAACAAGCTAATTACATATTTCACTGAAGTTTAGAAAAAATATATTCATATTCTGACAATTCTGACATGCAATAAATTCAATTTTATAGTGTTTTGTAAACATTTAACTTTTAAACTTTTAACTTTACAAAACAGGGGCCTGCAAAGACATTAGGTAAAAAAATTTATCTGCAAACTATTGAACTAGCTTAGTTAGGTATCTGCCAAACACCTGCACTGCTGAGAGAATTTTACCTGAGTGAAAAAGAGCACACCAGATTTTTTTACTCATCTTTTTTCCCCACTTTAACCAAGGGAGTAGTCCACAGGAGAATTTATTTTCCTGGCCAAGCACATGATAACATGCTATTTGTCACCAGTCCTTTTTCTCTCACATAGGAGCAGTAACTCATATAATACCTATGTATATATAGAATGTATATATTGCATAAAAGTTTAGCATGTAGTACATATATGTTATCAAGAAATAAAAGGGATAAAAAGAAATAAAAGCTTTTCTTAAAACCATTTCTATTAAAATTCGTCTCCTCGTCACAGGCTGTTACGTCACTTTCTTAATAACATAAAATTCCGCAAACACTTGGGGCTGTAGTTTACAAGTAACCATACTTTCAGCAAGAACTGCCATATCGCAGTGTCAGTACTGGCTGATGCTAAGGAAACATCTACAGGAGCTTCTGCTGTATTCTAAAATTATTCCAGCATTTGAATCTGTTCTTGAAGATCCTTCAGAAATGTGTATAAATCCCATCAGTTCCCTCAGGCAGCAGGAAACCTATCTTTTTTCTCTGCTTGATTTCAGACTGTGCATACTGTGTGGTATCATTATTAGGTATTAAGAACAAGTGTGATTTTCTTCCTTGGTGTGAAAAGAACATACAATCACTTAGTCTCCACACCTATAATACAGGCTACAGTTGGAACCTTTCTGTTGGGGTAGCTTCAAATCTATCATTTTCATTCATTCCCTGCTGGCATTGTTATTTCTTATCTCTTCTCTGCTCCCCCCGTAACAAAAAGAAAATACATAAATAGACAGATGAATGGAACATTACTCCCTTTAAAAACATATTAACTAAACCCCAAAATTAAACATCATAGCCCCCAGTATTTTGGCAACCACTTGCTAACGGCCAATACAACAGGGTTTTTCAGCATACTACGAATGAGAAGTATTTGTAGTAACTATACTGTACCTCTGACCAATGTTTTATAAATGACCATTTCCTCATAACAACTACAGACAGAAAGCAAATTCACTATTTTCCCTGTTTCTTCATTTGTAGTCTTGTTACATGCAAGAAGAATAATTGTATAAAACATCAGCCTAAATTAATCTCTAGATTTAGCACCACTTTTTTAGCAGAGCTACAGCTTGATTTGCATACTTTAAGGACAACTCTTGTCTTAAATACCATGTATGAAAACTTTTCCTGCCTCATTTATCTGCTCTCCTGAGGGAGTAGTCCAGATATTTTTATATTCAAAATGAAAGCTTTAACCTGTATCAAGTGATGTGGTTGTTGATATCAAAACAGTTGATGAATCATGAGCAGTTACTAATACCATGCATATTAAAATCTGTGCTACTACCTGAATCTAAAGTACACTATTAACCACACTGGTTCTAGGATGTTTCCCACCTGGCCAACCCATGTGCATACTTTTCAGCCAGATCTGCAGAGTACTGTGTGTGGCACCTGACCACAGTGATCTAGACAGTGAAGGATAATGAAACAAGAGAACTATAAAATGTTTCATTTTGTATTCAAAGACTGAGAGATGAGCCAGTGCAATCTCCTTCTACTATTTTATTTACCAGTCTGCCCTTGAAAGTGTCTCAAAATCACTTACTGCAGTAAGATCTTGAAATCTGAAGACCAAGTGCCCCATTTCTCTATAGCTAATTAGTCCACACATCCTGCAATGCAAAAATATAATTGACTCTGTGTGTAAAACTATCTGGGGGGAGACAGTGTATTTGCATGCTAATACAAGGAACTATTGGAAAAGATAGACCCCTTTGTTATAAATGGGACCTCCAAAAGGTGCCAATTATAAAGTAGTGCACTGCATTATAAACCAACTGCCTTGTGCAACTAATTGCTCCACACGCTGTACAATCCAAAAATATAATTGACCCTGTCTCTAAAGCTATTTTTGGGAACAAGAAATCATTATCACGCCAAAACCAAGTGCCAGTTACAGAGCAGGGAGTATGACCACTGTGGCCATCTGCCTCCTAGATAAGAGATCTACACTTTCTGGGGAAAAATAAAAAAACCACCCCCTCCCCCCCCAAAAAAAAAAACAAAAAAAAAACCAAACCCACAACCCTCAAAATCCTCTCTTTTTTACTGCTGTCCAAAATAAAAACAGGGCTCATGGGATTTTATGTACAGGGCATTTGCAGTATTCCGTAGAAGAGGAATATCTTTCAAAGGAGTCTTCTGTTCAGACTGAAATCCTGCCAGCGAGGATCACTATCAATTGGAGCAGTGTCTATGTACACTGTTTGGGGTTGGCAGCGATTCTCTTGTAGGGGTGTTCTGTGTTTCCACCTGGAGAATGGGTTCTACACAAACACGTGCAGAAAGTCCTTTAGTCAGCCAACATGCTAACTTTTTCCATTATCAAGCAATAAACATTCATGAATTAAAGGCATAGGGTAATGGCTGATGTGTTCTCAAGAACAACAATGGGACAGATGCTGCAGCTTACATGTTCCCAACTCATTGTGAATAATCAGCTGTACCACATAAATACTCAAGATTTTTGTATTATGTTTTTGTCTTCAGCATGTATAGAATGGTTCCAAACCACCTGCGTTTTTTACGCATATAGCACTTAAGTATTTCCATGATCCAGAAACACTGATGATGTTTACACCAACTGCCTTTGTCCAAATTCCTTCTGTACTGAGAAAAAGTTCATTCTTCACAACATTATTACCCTTGGGGAAAACCGCAGAGAAGTTTCCATTAGGTTGTACTATTTTAAGCAGATTCTGCAAATGCTTCTGTTTACTTTTCTGGCACCATGTATTCTGGTGGTAAAATAACCCAAATGTGGTTTTATAAATGAGCATTGCGAATTGCCACTGAAAGACACCTGAATTGTAGATGGAAATGAATCAGATCATGCACTCTATTCAGAGAGTCAGAAGAGGCTTGGTAAGAACATGGGTCTTCTCCTGCATACATCTTGTAATAGAGCGCATAATTGCAAAAAGTTTATGAAAAGTGCACCATATCTTTTTTGGCTTCAGGGATTTCCCAATACACATTGCTCATGTGAAATACATTCTACAGTAAACATTATGGAATTGTGATGCTTGGGCTTTGACCCACAGGCTTGAGTCTGTGTTGGGTACCTGCCAGTAAATTCCTCGGTGAAAAGCAAATGAATAAACTTCTTGTAAATGGGTTTACACGTGAATGCTCCATTCCTGACAGTGTTCAACACCAGGCTGGACGGAGTCTTGGGTGACATGGTGTAGTATGTGGTGTCCCTGACCATGGCAGGGGGGTTGGAACTAGGTGATCTTAAGGTTCTTTCCAACACTAACTATTCTATGATTCTGTGATTCTAAGTACACAACTGCAGCAGTAAAGACAACCTCATTGGAAGTGCCACACTGACACAGAAACTGTAAGCACTGGAAACAACGAATATGGTCTCACCCTAAAGACTAAGTGAATGTAGTAACAGAACTCTTACTGGTTATTAAGAAACTCTGCTTTTTTCTTTCTTTTCTGGCCACAGCAGAAACATCTTGACAAACTATCTGGGAAAATCCAGCATCTGAAGGAGCAGAATAAGTGTGATGTTCCTGATGATGTAAGCATTATTCATCTGAAAACCATGTGGATTCCTTTTAAGTAGCTACTGTGTTCAGCTGGAGAGATCACCAAAAAGAGGAAGTGGCTGGAGTGGAATATAGAAAACTGCTGTTTTCACTTCAGTAATGTATTTTTCTGTTTCCTCTAATTGTATCTCTATCAATCTGTATCATTGCCACAGTCAATATTTGGTGGTTTCATCAGTTTCAGCTTCAGGAGTTCATAATACTTATCAGAGTTCACATCTCACATAAACATCACATGCACAAAAATTACTTGCTCTGATACAAAACTCACCTTAAAATTTAAGTCTCCTTAAGTATTAAAGCCAGCTTTAGAATTTCAGTTACTGGGTGTCCTGGGTTCGGCAGTAGCAGTCATTTTTCTCCTTCTTAGTAGCTGGTGCAGTGCTGTGTTTTCTATTTTAGCCTGAGAACAACACTGATACCAGTTCTAAAATACAACCACTATATATATATATATGTATATATATATAAAATATATATATGCCATTTATATATTTTTATATATATACATATATATAATAATCCCATTTAGAAAAAGTCTGCAGCAACTGTAACATTGTTTAACAAACTTTCAAATCCAAAAAAGTAAATGTTTATACTAAGTAATTGTACTTCAGACTGAAAAGCTGCTGTGCTCACATTGGTCACAACAGTCTGTCAGCATTAAAGTGAATTCTCAAATCACCTGAAATAATACCAAACAAACTAACAGAGTCTGCAATACAGAAAACACTTGAACAATTTGAGAAATAATAAAAAAAAATAACTGACCAAAAAAATCCTTTCTTTCCCCTTGCCTTTAACTCACTGCCCCACTGAGATGAACACTATTTAACTTTCAACATGCAATTAAAGCGATGTTAAAATTCTCTTCAGTGCTTCTGCAGCATCTGCTTCACTGATTGGTGTCAGTTGAGGTAAAATTTTAGTCTTTATTTTATAGGATTTTGCAGTGACTAGCAGATGCTTGGCTATTGTTTCAAGCAAGCGGAATCCAAGCAGTAAAGACAAGCACCTCACAAACAAATGTTTGTTAGAATAATCATGTAATGTGAGTATTCAATGCACTTCCTCATTCTGCATTTCTAAGATGTTGTGAACTATAAGGAGTACAAGAACTTTGTGATATAATCCTCCTCTTTTGCTTTTACATAGGTAATGTAATCTGTTAGAGCTATGGAGTGAAAAAATCAAGATACATTTGAATAATGATTCTATAATGAAATGCAATTAGAGCAGTTGAAACACATATGGAAACAGGCCCCTCAAATTTATAAAGACTCCTATTTATTCAAGTACCTTTAGTTTCAAAGCTTAAAAGAGAGTATTTTCGATAGTGGGATTCAGTTTATCACCACTATTTTGTGGATACATAACAAAATAAAAGTCAAACTTTTTGAAAAAGCTGTCACAACTCTCAGCACTTTTCAGCAGCTTTGGCTGAGACAACGGAAGAGGCCAACATGCCGGCTTCATCTGTAACTCAGTGAATCCCGCCCTGGAGTGCTTCTGATGCAGCTTAGTCCTGACCTCCCGTATCCCCAAACCCCTCTGACCAGCTACTGAACATCCCCTGAGCAGAACCAGTCAGTTATGGAAAAGTGGGCCAGGCTCTGGCTTGGTTTTGTTACTTGGAAAAATGTTGTCTTGAGTGGACCAAGCTCATTTCACTTGTCCTGAACTGCTTCTGAAGCATGGTCTCCAGAAGTAGAACATTATGAATTAATATACTCATTCCAAGACTTGACCTATTCTTTTCTTCCTTTTGCTTCTCTTAAGAGTTATTTATGCTCATTTATCTGAGGAATTCTAGTTTATAAAATGTTCAGTACCCAAACAGAAAAAAAAGTAATTGAGATGGGTCTCTCAAAGTCTTTCTATCTTAGAATTTTAAAGGAAATAAAGCCTAACAAAAAGCATCTTGAATTTATTTTCTCCTCATTTCCTAAAACAGATACCTTGAATTTATTCGCTTCTTCCTAGGATACGGAATATCAATATAGAAAAGGCTAAATGTCTATCATACTGTGTCAATGCAAGTCTAAAGAAAACGCAAAGAAAGCTTAAGTCTGACCTTGATGCAAATGTTCTGACATCCATAGGAGTTTCTGATTGACAAGACCTGGATTTTGATCAGATACCTACAGAAGGTACCTGCCCAGTGACCAGATGCTATGAATACATACTGCTGCAGCTGGGCTTTCATTATTTATGCCCTGGTGGACATGTAGTCAGCATACTGCTAAATGTTATCGTGATTCAGGGTAGTCATACCAGACAGTGATTAACTTTGTTACTGGTTGGGCTGCCCTATACATTGTAAAAAAGTCCTTCTTTGATATCCTTCAGGTACTGATGTTGAAGCCTTTCCCCTCCAAAGGTTTTCTCCAATCATTGAATCACTCTTGACACAAAATTCTTGTAAAATTACAAATGTATAGATATATAAAATCCTTTCCCTAGGTTCTTCACATTATCCTGCAGTGTTATCCAAGGCTTCTTAATGGGAGCTGCTGCTGAATTGTGTGGTAACAAGGTTTGCTTTCATAACCAATTATGAATTCCACTGAAAAAAGCAATCCAATTATTCCCCAGCTCCCAACCATGCCAAGCACAAGAGCTTCTGAGGCCACATATTCAGCCAGATAAGGGAACCGATCCAGCTTAACACTGACCTACCAAAGAAAATACTTAGCCCTTACTTGGGTGACCACATGGCCGTGCACCAACGGAAATGGCAGGGGAGAATCTTCCTTCAAAAACAAGGATTTACATTGGCATCATCATTAAAATTCACCTATAGATTATTTTCCATTTTTACTTCTCACAATACAGCTGTCATTTTCATATAGATTGCACTGCTTGTTCCTAACTACCCAGCTTTATAACCCCACACTTGTCTGTACTAGCTAAAATGAATAGGTAGTTTTGTTTGCACGAGCTGAGGTCACAGAGCAAATCAAACTCCTCTTCATGGGTGCCCTGACCAGGTCATGACCCTAACAATTTTTACATCATCCTTAGATACTAGCAATGATTTTATATTCATCATTCACATGTGAAAATGCAGGGAATCAGGCCTCGTACCTCTCCCATACAAACAGGGTTAAAACCTAAATGATGATTTCCCCAAATAACAACTACTTTTTGAAATCTGCCAGTTAAGTAGCACTTAATTCATTTAAGATGGGCCTTGTTGATATTATAGTGTTATTTTTTTATCAGAATAAACATGTCCCACAGTAGTAAGTCAAATGCTGTACAAAAGCCTAAGAATATTACATCTACAGACACAATAAACCCACCATTTTGCCACCATAGTTTTACAAACTGGTCATCCTGCTAAATTCTGTTCTGTTTTTTAGCATTCTATGCCTAAGTTTTCAACCTTGAGCACTAAGTAAAAAAAATGGAAATTAAATAATTTACCAGTTTCAGATTCTAACCAGTAAATTGCTGTGCATTTGTAACCGCACTATCATTTTCATTGTACTACATTGGCCATTTAGGTGAATGATAACCCAGGAGACAGCACCATGCAGGGCTAGCAAACAAGTAAATCATTTAGATTGCACACTGCTTTCAACTGAAAAAGGGGCAGTAAATCTGGCCTGCCATTGCTTTCTCTTTTGTTGAATTTTCTGGATGGTGCAGTCTTCGCATTGAAACAAATAAGAAAATTCTACAGATTTAATTTATTGTCTGGGTTTTGCGCGTAATGACTAAGGGTGACCAGTACAATTTAATACACCGGAAGAATAGGTTTAGTCATTTAAAATCGTTCCAGATAGAACATACAGCTCGTTTTAAGCAGATGAGGAAATTCTGGTTACAGCATGGCACCATCTAATGGCTTTGGCTTTAACTGCAAGAACTTTAAATAGCATTAAGCGGTGGCAGTACAAACTGCCCTCACAGAATTCTTTTGCTCACCTGCCTCATTACATACCATAGCAGATAGAAGAGAGGAAATCAAGTAAGTTCCAAATATAAACCTGTACTGGTAACTTAACACAGCAGTAGCAGCTGCAACCTGCTTTCAAAGCATGGATGAATGTTGTAGTGCCAAGGTAAGTACTTCAACATAAAAAACTTTCAGGTATACAAACAGTGCAGTGTTGTCTACACACATGAGTAACAGAATACTGTATTTTCAGAGCTGAGAACCTACTTTGGGATGATTTTTGCCAAGAAAAAGTATGCCTTGATTTTCTGTTATTCTGGATGGCAAACGTTACATTTCTTCGAAACATATGCTAAATCTGACAACTTTGTACAGTTCATTGGCAACTTCTGTTTTGATTTTATTACCAAGTTAGAGGTAGGGAAGAGATGATCAAGACTCTTGGATTGCATTCCCATCTGTTGGTGACTTACTGCACCATGCTATGAAATCACTAGTTTGCCTGCACAAAAATTGTTTTATTACAAGTATGTAAATGCTAATATTAAAATTCCTTGTAAGGATGCCAAAGATTTATTAATCTTTAAAGTATATTAAGAATTGGTGCATTTTCATTAGAAGAATTACCATTGTAGAAATTTCTCAGTAAGAGATACAACGGCCAGCATTTATGCACAGAACAGCCACAACATAAACAGACATATTAATTTGAATATTAAGTGTAGTTTAAGAACACAATTCCCATTTAGATGTTAACAAAACCCAAGTTATATGTAAGAGATTTAAAAGTTAGAGGTTCCATAATTTTACCATTCCAACAATTCCATCCAACACAATTACAATGCAAGTTTAAAGCTAAGAAAAAGGAGGTTGAACACAGGAATAGGTTGCCTGAGGCTGCGTAGTCACCACTCTTGGAGAGGTTGAAAACCCAAAAAGGCACTGCGCTGGGCATCCTGCTGTAGCTACCCTCGGGCTGGGCTGTGTACTCCAGGGGTGCTGGCCCACCTCAGACATGCTGAAGTTCTGTGGTTCCCTCAAATGTTTGTTGCTGCTTTTGAAACAAACCCCAAAATTTTAACACAGAATTACACTGTGTTTATCTCCAAATTTTGTGTTTATGTCCAAATCTTGTGCTTATCCTTCAAATCTCCCAATATTTAGGAAAGTTCCCTCTCTTGTAAATATTTAGGATAATATCTGAGGCTAGCCAGGGAGTGAGCTACTGGGAAGACTTAATACTAAATCTGGAACTAACTCAATGGGTCCAGAGACAAAGTAAACATAGTGAAAATGCTTCAAGTCACTACAGTGGAATTTGGTCACAGCTGGTATAATCCTTACTACACAGATATTTTCATCTGCAGAAGCTGCCAAATGAATAAACAGAAAAAAATTAAAGGCAGATCTATACAGTAATTCAACTATAATCACACAATGAAAATATATTTTACAAAAGTTCTAAAAATCAGAGAACTTTTATGAAAAGAATGAAGTACAATATCAAGTGTTAGAAAATGGACCCTATCATTGCACATACCCCAAACCTTCTCTTTTTTATTGTTTAGAGATACACATTCAGGAGACCTCCTTGCTATGTTTTTCACCATACAGACTCACACATGTTCCACTCATGGGCAAATATTCAGGGTTTTTTATGACCACTGCTGGCTTGAAGCCTATTCATATCACTAATACAAAAGTGTCTGCTGACTCAGCTATAATTTGGTTGTCCTTTTATGATTACAGCATGAATCTGTTCACAAGAGCAGCTGATTCTGAATCATGTTGTAAGCAGCAGATGTGCATGAATACATAAGCTTTGGCAAAGCCTAAAGCACTGTGATAATGCATTTCTATTCCCTCTTGCAAAGCTGGATTCTGAAGATGGTTTTGAGGCCTGTTTTTCAGGGATGCAGCAATGCATTTGTTCAACTCACAGAAAACTGAGATGTGAACAGGGAGCCACTGTTGTTCCTTTATAACACTCTGAAGAGTTGTGATCACAGTCACTTGTACACCAGGGTAGTAAATACCACAACCTGCACAGAAAATAATCTATCAAAAGAGAGAGCCTGAAATACACTGTTACTGACTGTAAAAGTAGATACATTATTTGAACATAAAATAGAAAAAAGAAATTTAGTGTACTAAATAGTACTAAAATATCTCTATGAAAAAATCCCAAACAAAATAATTAAATGCTCCATCACAGAACCATATATTATAACTTTGCATTTATATACTACATTTAGAGGTACGTACCAACTACCTCTTCTTGTAATTGGAAGACAAAACCCTCTGACAAAATGTAACTCTACAAGTAGATGTAGTTCTTGTTTACAAGGATAGTTGTAAAAAGCCAGAAACAGAAACAACAGCCTGAGGCATTGACAAGTTCTTTCCAGCTGAAAAGCCCCCTGCACTTGAGGTAAGCTACTTTACCAAGTAAGCAGAGTGATGCACTTCCCATTGGTTGTATAAACTTACAACGAAAGACTAACACATGGATTATATTGGAGAAGTGAAAAGACAGTTGAAGAAACATAAATTGGCAATTCAGACTGAAGAACATCAAAAAGAATAAAGAGCAGCAGTTTAAGGACCACATTGAAACAAAGGAATATAAGACTAGGAGTACACCGTAGTAAGATTTTTGGAGAAATTAATTATGTTATTCAACTGTGTAAAGAAACGCAGTCTTTTTTTCCCCTCTGTAAAAACAACAGCATTGTGGTCACTTACTGCAGCCTGCTTTTTCAGCTTCTGTCTGCACAGAACACCACAGTGCTGCAGGTCATGCACAGCTTCCTGGTAGAAGACTGTAGGTGGTTCAACACTTCAGCAGGACAGAGCTGCTACAGGTCACAGATCAGGCACATTACTAAAACTGTGTGAAAAAGCGTATTGTGCTTGTCACTGAGAAGCTGCCTTTTAGTCCTTCTGAGAATAGGAACATTAATATCTACAAGAAAAAAAAGAGGTGTAGCTCCGTTTTTTAGCTGTCTCTTCTTAAAATGTTCTGTACATGCTCCTAGATTCTTTTCAATTCAAGTTTGCAAGAGAAAAACTGTCTCAACTTCTTCTCTTCTCTTCTGTCTGATATCAGTATGTTTAGCCTTTACATACCTTTCCCTTCCCAAATCCCAGGTACATAACATGGTAAAAAAAATGGTGCTATTTAACAACCTGATAGGTGGTTGCTAAAGAAAAGGAAACTAAGCAACTGAAGGTGTTATTACTACACAGTTACATTACAGAGATATCCTGAAGCTACAAAAAGGTGTTATGGTAGAAATATGGAATAAAACCTGTGAGACTACCAACACAGCCTCTGTTTGCATTCTTCCAGATCTGAATTTCCTTCTCTGTACTACATATCACTGATGATTGACAGCTTTTATTTCTGTCATCGTGTATGGCTGAGAAAGAGTGGGATGGAATGCAGATTGCAAATATAGGGCACAATAGAGGAACAGCATAGAAACAGTAGTGGGTGAAAGGTTGCAGTCACAAAAGAATTTCAGCTATCTTCATTCATCTTAAAGAAAAATGATAGTAAACCACCTATCAGCCCCTAACAAAAATGCTTGAGTAGTAATTCTTTGTATTAGAAGGAAGGACACAGTTCTACTAAAGTCATGCAAGAAAAGCAAGGCTAATGATAAACATGCTTTCAGAATGTTTAGGATTACTGTACCCAGTAATAAGAGTAAGTGAATAAATGTTTATTTTTTGAATGAGAGGATGTAATAGCATTTGGCAATGGTAGCATTAAAACAAGGGAAAAAGAATCAGCATCTTTGTACAGATAGAATTCAGATCCCAACTCAGTGGTATACAGATTGCCTCCTGTTCAGTGGAAATCCTTGTAGAGATGCATCCCTTATGCCAACTTTGAAATGTGCCTTTAATGAAATTCTTCCTTTTCCTTTATTTAATCCATCAAGCTTGATAGCAAAGAATAGACCCTTCAACAAATAGCACACATTCCTTTCTGTAAAAATTAGGCTCATCTTACTGGACAATCTTCATCCAGGGGTTGAATAAACTGGTTATGTAAATACTACCCACTCCACTTTTTCAATTATAATGTCTGCTCTTCCCAGTTCTTTAAAAAATGTCACATCCTTTTGAAGTGTTAAGTAGAAAGACAGAAAAATTCAAATTGCTGTTTTCATTGAAAGGAAATCACAGTTTAGAGGTGTATTTGAAGTACACAATTTGAGGTTTTTTACTTTCAAACCAGCTTTTTGATACCTGATTCAGCTTGCACACTGTCCCAGTTCACCATTCATGAGAATGACAAAAACAGTTTGTTCTTCACAAGCCTAGCAATACCCACACAACCAAAGACAGAGCCTTTGTTTCCAACAAGCATATTCTGGGACTTAACGGGTGGAAAATATTGCTTAGTTCAAAGCCAGTAGCTAAGTGAAAAATATTTTGTTTTATTTAACAACAACAACAATAATCTTTGTGGGCAGACACATAAGCAGAAAAACTGCTTCTCTCAGGAGCTAGTTTCACTTTAGTAGCATAAAAACCATAGTACCTTTTAATGAAGCCTGGTTAGCACTCCTCACTCAGGAAGACGGATTTTTTTCATGGAGCTCCTTGAAACTTTGGACTTTCCAGATTTAGTTTCCTCTGGTGCCACTGAGCCATGCTGTGGAATAAGGCAGAGATGTGGAAACACTTTGTTCTTCCTCTTGTCACAGATTTAAGACAGTTGTTTTGGCAAGTCAGAAGAGGGGATTCTCTATGCGTCATTGAAGTGTGTGATGCTCGTCTAACCATCAATACCGTAGCATCCTCATGAGGTTCTAGGAGCTATGAGGACTGCATATATCTGTGTAGAGAGAGAACACCTTGTTCAAAGGACACAGGTTTGCTACTACCCAGCTCTATTTCTTTCAGCCCTCCTAAAACCATTTACTCCTAGCTTGACAGCTTACCTTGAAACCAATATATCTCCTCCAGATCCATACAGCCTCCTGGATTTATCAGATGCTTATAAGCATGAAAGACTGAGGAGACGGGTCAACAATCAGGCATGAAAAGACAACCTACCGCCAGCACTTCCTGCTTGACCATACTATACTCAAGAGTAATGAGTGCAGCAGTAGCAGCAACACTTCAAACTAGTCTCTGCAAAACCCTTTGTACAGCAGATTGCTTTAAAGGTCCTGCTGTACAGTTAGTGGCTTGTGTAGCACAACTCAGAAACTCTACAATATGGTACTGCTGGCATGTACATCCTCTGCTGCTGACTGCCCCAGGTAACTACAGTGACTCACAACCCTTCTTAGAACCAAATTTCAGTCAGAATTTGTTACTTGAACCATTTCCGAACCATTCCCCCCCCCCCCAGCAGAGTACTTCCACGCATTTCCTCCCAGCAAGTTCCTCTAACGAAGTGTCTATTTCCCTTTGAATTTTTTGGCTTTTTGTATTTTATAAATACATATATTACCTTGTGGCTTTAAAATGAATCATTTGATTGCTTAAACAAGGAAAAACACTTTCTTCCTCTTTCATACAAAAAGATGCCTTTCTGTGCAGAAGTAATAGTCCTCCTAGAAGAGAAAACACATCACATCTACACAGAGAGAACAACAGCTTCTCAACAGCCATTATCTGTTGTTTCTCCCTTTCTCTATTTAGCACTACAGTAACCCCAATGCTTATACTGTAATGCTTTCTCTAGAGTACTTCTGTGTCACCTTGACTGACTTCTCTTTTTTCTATGTGCTCACCCCCCGCAAAGCTCTCCAGAGATCACTTTTTTCTTACTGGTCTCATGACAATGATGCTACAAGTAATTCTATCCCCCTATATTCAATATACTCTCCAGCTTGCATTTGGCTACGCCATTTATCTCTCTATTGTACAGACTGAACATCTTAACATTATAAAAAGCAATTCAGTCTAAGTACTTCATGTAAGATCCTCTGTATTTCCCCACTGTGATGATTTATCCTGAGACGGATAGACTAAAGATCAGTTCAGACTATGCATGCACTACTAACTGAAAACCTTTTATCTGAATTTTCCTTTCCAGGAAACAAAGAATGAGAATAAGATTAAGGTTCTGACACTACACTTCAACAAACACGACTGTACCAGTTAGCATCAAATATAGATGAATGCTTTGGAACTGATGCTGAACTGTAAGTATAAATTATATGCCAGGTTTAAGTTATATGAACCAGTCAAGCATTTTCAGTTATCAATCTCTTTACAGCAGTACTGTGTTTTAGTTCAACTGCTTCAGATAGTCAGAGGCCCCCACACATCCCAAACTCCTACCTGGAGTATATAATCCAGCTGAATGGCCTTGAAGAGTAAACAGATAGTCAGATGCTAGCACAACCATGCTTTACAGTAAGTCTTCACAGCTCAAGCACTATCTCTTCAGTATGTCTGCTTTGACTTGGACTAGGCTAATTTAAGTGGAATCAACATAGGTTAATACTACAGTGAGTATAATAAAGCTCAAAGACTTGCAGAAACTACCAAAGCTCAGCTGCCTATGAATAAAATACAAAATAAGGCACTAAGTGTATTCACTGCTTATCAACTTCAGGTTCTTAAGACTCATTTCTAGTGTCTAATTTTCACACAGTTTATATAGCATTCAAGGAAATTATTAGAATCATAGAATAGTTAGGGTTGGAAAGGACCTTAACATCATCAAGTTCCAACCCCCCTGCCATTGGCAGGGACACCTCACACTAAACCATATCACCCAAGGCCTCGTCCAACCTGGCCTTGAACACTGCCAGGGATGGAGCATTCACAACCTCCCTGGGCAACCCATTCCAGTGCCTCACCACCCTAACAGGAAAGAATTTCCTCCTTATATCCAATCTAAACTTCCCCTGTTTAAGTTTTAACTCATTACCCCTTGTCCTATCACTACAGTCCCTAATGAAGAGTCCCTCTGCAGCATCCCTATAGGCCCCCTACAGATACTGGAAGGCTGCTATGAGGTCTCCACACAGCCTTCTCTTCTCCAGGCTGAACAGCCTCAGCTTTCTCAGCCTGTCTTCATATGGGAGGTGCTCCAGTCCCCTTCTCTGGACTTGTTCCAACAGATCCATGTCCTTTTTGTGTTGAGGACACCAGAACTGCTCACAATACTCCAGGTGAGGTCTCACAAGAGCAGAGTAAAGGGGCAGGATCACCTCCTTCGACCTGCTGGTCACGCTCCTTTTGATACAGCCCAGGATACTGTTGGCTTTCTGGGCTGCAAGCGCACACTGCTGGCTCATGTTCATTTTCTCATCGATCAGCACCCCCAGGTCTTTCTCCGCAGGGCTCCTCTGAATCTCTTCTCTGCCCAGCCTGTAGCTGTGCCTGGGATTGCTCCAACCCAGGTGTAGGACCTTGCACTTGGCATGGTTAAACTTCATGAGGTTGGCATCAGCCCACCTCACAAGCGTGCCAAGGTCCCTCTGGATGGCATTCCTTCCCTCCAGCGTATCAACCGGACCACACAGCTTGGTGTCATCGGCAAACTTACTGAGGGTGCACTCAATCCCACTGTCCATGTCAGTGACGAAGATGTTGAACAGGATCGGTCCAACACCGACCCCTGAGGGACAATACTTGTTACCAGTCTTCAGCTGGACATTGAGCCATTGACCACAACTCTTTGTATGCGGCCATCCAGCCAGTTCTTTATCCACCCAGTGGTCCATCCATCAAATTGATGTCTCTCCAATTTAGACACAAGGATGTCCTGTGGGACAGTGTTGAACGATTTACACAAGTCCAGGTAGATGACATCAACTGCTCTACCCCTCTCCATCAGTTCTGTAGCCCCATCATAGAAGGCCACCAAATTGGTCAGGCAGGATTTCCCCTTAGTGAAACCATGCTGGCTGTCACCAACTGCCTTGTTGTTTTTCATGTGCCTTAGCATGCCTTCCAGGAGAATCTGTTCCAAGATTTTGCCAGGCACAGAGGTGAGACTGACTGGTCTGTAATTCCCCGGGTCATCCATTTTCCCCTTCTTGAAAATGGGGGTTATATTTCCCTTTTTCCAGTTGTTGGGAACTTCACCTGACAGCATGATTTTTCAAATATGATGGCCAGTGGCTTAGCAACTTCATTCACCAGCTCCTTCAGGACCCGCGGATGGATTTCATCAGGACCCATGGACTTGTGCACATACAGATTTTTAAGACAGTCTCGAACCCGTTCCTCTCCTACGGTGGGCCCAAGGTCTTCATTCTCACAGTCCCTGCATCTGCCTTCCAAGACTTGGGTGGTGCAGTCAGAGCCTTTGCCAGTGAAGACCAAGGCAAAGAAGTCATTCAGAACCTCAGCCTTCTCCAAATCCTGTGTAGCTGTTTCTCCCAAGAGCTTCCTGAGAGGGCATACGTTCTTCCTATTCTGTTTTTTATTTGCTATGTACCTGTAGAATCCCTTCCTGTTATCCTTAATATCCCTAGCCAAGTTTAATTCTAACTGGGCCTTAGCTTTCCCAACGTGGTCCCTAGCTTCCCGGACAACATCCCTGTACTCTTCCCAGGCCACCTGTCCTTGCTTCTACTTTCTATAGACTCTTTTTTCATTTGAATTTTCCTCAGCAGCTCCTTATCCATACAAGGAGGTCTCCTGGCCCTCCTGCTGCACTTCCTTCTAGTTGGGATGCAATACTCCTGAGCTTGTAAATGGAATTAAATAGTTTTAGAGCAGTTTTACATTGCATACGTAGGAAAAGTGTATAAAGTTTTAGCCTAAAGTCTTATTACTGAAAAAAAATATTTTGGGATAATGGCTGACATATGTATTTATCATTAAATCAGCTGTTAACTGAAAAAAGACATTTTATAAGAGGGAAAAAAACCTGAGTATAAATGCTGGGAAGATCATACTTCTAGACCTTTTTTCGGTAGTGTCCTATGGCATGCAAGGCACTGAACAAAACAGAGTTGCTGTAGTTTATTTTCCACAGTTCTTAGCAGGATCCTAAAGACAGTGTAATAATCTGCACACAAGATGGTAATCCATTTTTGTTGAGTAGCCCAGAGACTCCTTGAATAGGCTGCTCTGTCATCCCGTATTTTAATCACTCAGGAATGTATGGAGAAGAGTTAATCCTCCATGCGATATATATAATCCTCCATGCGATATATATATGTTACTTAGATATGTTACAATGGTGTCTGTTTAAGATGATTCTACACTTCTTCACCTCTAAATTTCCCACTAATTCTGCTCTGGCGTTATCAGCAAAGCTGAATGGGGTAGATAAAGCAGGGGAGAGAAGCATAAAGAAGGCCATACCATTAACTGAGATATAATGAAAAGTTACTTATGGCACTTTAAACAGTTCTTAAAATTAATGAAAACTTATGCAAAATTTCTCACCTGCAGATTCTTCTCTGAATTATACTTCAGTAGGGTTTTTTTTCTGTGATCAGCAGCTCTAATAAACACTAGGAAAAGGTTCTGCTCTGCTCGTGCTGGGGTGATTACGTAGATGCCTGACAGACTGTGTATGGATGGCTATATATATGCAATACTGGAAAGGGGTAGGAGATTATTACTCTATTTGCCACAATCTTTTTGTCCTTCTGCTCCCAGTGATTTTGCAGTGGCATAATACAGGGTTTGTACAGCCCATTAGATGAGTCTGGAAGAAACTAATGGGCTGTTGGGTACCTAATCAGCTTCTCCCAGAGGCCAACAACAGACTTCAAAGGAGGAACAAAAAAGGAAAAGCCCTGCTTAATTAGTGCTTAGCTAAGAAGAGGAGAAGACTAAGGGGAAGACACAAGGGTGCACAAGGTGCTCCTGTCAGGCACGAGGTGCACAGGTGTCAGGCACAAGGTGCTCCTGTCAGGCACAAGGCACAAGGTGCTCCTGTCAGAGTCCCCTGGTAGAGAGGTAGGCCTGGCAAAAGGTGCTTCCTTGTTCAGCTGCCAGTGTTCAACTGAAGCTTGCCTGAGTCATGGCAGCATGGACATTTTTCATGGATTAGTCATTCACAGAAAAGAACAAAGAACCTGCTATCAGTACAACCCAGAAGCAAACAAAACCAGAACTGCTCTCTATGTTTAGGTCTAATTTTACATACAACAAAAGAAACAGAGGTAGCACATATCTTAAGCAGATGCTTACATCTTTCCAGCCCTTCGGGTATCTGAGGGTGGATAAAGCAGTGAATGAGCAGGAGGGAACCCAGGCAAAGGTGCAGGGTACAGTACACCAGGGGAACAGGTAAGTTCATTGCCCAGCAAGCTCCAGAGAACAGTGACAATTCAGGAAGCTTTTTTATAAATTAACTGTAAGTTGCAAAGGGCTTTTAAACACTAACTTGCAACTTTTGTGGTTGTTATTATAAAAGGCATGAAAAGATTAGGTTTTGTCATGACAGATATTTTTAGTTGTGGGTTTGTTTTTTTTTTCCTTTATTGCTCTATATGTAAGAAATATCAGAAACTAAATCAGGTCTCCAGTAACTTGCCTGTGGCAGCTGGACAGTAATGGAGAAAATGACAGTATTTTAACACAAATATATGTTCATAATAAGCTTACAAATAGATACTTAATGAAGGACAAACAAAACCGAATTGTGAACCACAAAGATCCCTCATCTGACTCTTCACAGGTTATCACTGTATTATTCAAATCAATAAACTTAAACAGAAAATAATTAAGGAATAATTGAACCAAGATAAGTTTTAATGGATAGAGGAAAATACACTCACATCTCATCTGTCTTTAGCAGAGAGAAATTGTGAGAAAATACTGTTCCAGAACAAACTTGTAGTAAACAATTTCACTGTCAAACCAGGTATTTTCTGCTTAAATGTTCTACATATATATGTGTATAAATTCATATAAATAAAAATATTTTGTTCTTTGTTACAATCAATTTTAATTGTGTTTTCTCAATTTCATTTTTCTTTCCAACAATACCTCAGATCAAGGATGGGATAACGAGGTACACTGATATTAACAGAATATACCATTTGAGTACATAGGCCTCCAACATGAATATTTTCTCTTAGAAACCTTTTAATTACTTGCTTGCATTTTGGTGTGTTGGAAACAAAGTACATGGATTTCTACTAACACCCAGGAGAGTGCAAGGCATCATCAGGTGAGGAAAGGGACACAGAAGCTAAAGAGACATTAAAATAACAGAGTTTAAAACCAGCATCTATACAGACTCCTTCATATCCTATATTATGAAACCTACTCACATCTAGAGGATACCACTTTGCTTTCAAAGACCAAATGAAGTGCACAGATTTATTATA